TGAGAAAATACCTATATTATTATTTGATTGTGGTAAATTATTATCTATTTTATTTTATTCGTTATTATCGATTTCTTAATATTCTGCAAATTACGACTCCCTACAAAAAGAATTGCAGTTTTTGTATGAACAGAAAGAAATTTCATTCCAATTGGGATGAAATGTGTTCTCTATTTATCTAACAGGCTCGTAATGAACTAATTTGTTAGTTAAGTACCATGAATTGACTTCTTTTAGAAATAGAAAAATATTTCTTGTATTTAGACAAAGATATTGAAATATTAGTTTCAGATTAAAAATTCTACTCATCCCTTAAACGTTATTTGATTAATTATTATATTTTTTTGCTACTTTATTAAATACGTATACATATATAACAAAAATTCTATGTAATGTTACTCTTATTAAGAGGGCACTCTCCACACGACACGCAAGAAAGGCACATTTACACAGAAAATGTGAAAAACACTTTAAGGCCTGAAGATGATATCAATAAAAATCGAAATGTTGTCACGATAAAGAAAATCCTGGGTTCGAATCCCGCTAGTGAAACTGACTTTTCATTCAACCAAAGCCTTACACAAAAATATTAATTAATTGAAAGAAGTAATTTGGTCAATACACCACTAAATATAATGAATTTAATATTATTAATATTTTTCCAAATTCCTACACTTTTCTTTGTATATTTTGCGCTTGGTGAGGTGATTTTATGGCAACTTATTCTACTATAATACCAAATTTGTAAAAATTTCTCTGACTTTATTGTGTTGTTATTCCTAGGAGACCTTCTTCCTAGAATAAGGTATTTTTGCTTTCTTTCTTCCTTCCGTTCCTTTTTCTTTCTTTTTGTCCTTGTATTATTTTGTCAAAAATATAATGATTTGTGCATACTAAATAAAATATGATATTATTATAAATAAATCTTTTTTAGTATTTTTATAAATCAAAATTTAATTTTTCATTAAAAATCGTTTGTACACATAGTTATTGTTTTTTTAATAGTATAATTTTTAAACAAAACATTTTCCCATAATTTATCTCCGAACAGTTAATTTCTTTGTCCCGAAAGTTAGAGGTATTAACGAGTAATACTTTTAATGATAACGAGGCAACTGTAATTTGTTCGACTAACAAGCTTGGGATGGTTGGCCCTCAGGCAAATCACAAAGGAAGCCTACCAGTCACGTTTTAGAAACAAAAGCGTACCACATGAATATCGATCATAATCTATATATTATAATTCACTCTGGTGAAAATTCAAGGTAATGGAATGCAAGGCCTGCTTCTCACCTCAGCGTTTTTGTCTTCCTGTTTCTCATTTTCTTACATGGCACCATCTCACACATGGTGAGAAATTATCAAATAATATTTAACATAAATTTTCAAGTATAGACCACTTTTATTGAAACGACGTTGGCTTGGCCAAAAAGTAAATGTTAATCTCGATTACATATTCTTAATCGGGTGTTAATTATCCCTCCGATAAGATTTATATTCTCCAGGCCATGTTTCAACCGTGGTTGGTACTTAGGCGTATATCTGCCATATCGGGTCCAGTTACGTTGTCATTTTCGATTAAATAATATTTTTAATGTGTTTTAGCGCCTGAAGGCAAAATCATGTCATGTCCGTTGGGATACCTAATCTACCACATATATCTGGGAACTAGTCGACCTCCAAAGTTCAGTCGAGACATCTGGTTTCGAGTATCTCAGGACTGGAGGATCCAAAGACGGCCTGACACGGACAGCAGGCACCTACTATGCAAAAAGTTTCGCAGAGCCACCATCGTCTCGTATCAATCCATGTGCCTACCAACTATAAATTACTCAGAAATCGTGAGATGCTGTCTGATGTGATGTAGGTTTCAGAAAAACATTTTCTTTATCGTGCCAACGTTCCGATCCTTATTGAGATCATCTTCAGGGCCTGGGATTTACAAACATTGTTTACATTTAACAACTACATGTAAACAATGTTTGTAAATACCAGGCTCTGAAGATGATCTGAATAAAGATCGAAACGTTGGCACGATAAAGAAAATTTTTTTCTGAAACCTACATCACACCAGACCGCATCTCACGATTTCTAAATAAATATCGATTAACGGTCACTAAGCACCACATATTACTACAAATAGTGATGAACAACAATGAAACTGTCATTGCTGCAGCTGCGGTTACTATTTTGTGCAGTGGCGACAAACTAATTGAAAAAATATATTTAATTATATTTTTCATTATTTCTTTATTTATAAAACAATTTATGATTTGTAAGAGAAGCTTTCCAAATTATTGGTTGTTTGTTAATGAATCAGGGAATCGCATGGACCAAGAGAAGAAAATAATTTGTTCACCTTCACCATTTACAACAAGCACCAAGTTGGGTTTTCTGTTTGTCCATCTTGAAGTAAAAATTTCGTTAGAGTCTGGTGTCAGCCAGTCGTCGCTTGACCGAACCCGAAATAGTTACGTACCTTCTTAGGCTTTAACGTTCTAATTTTGCTTGAGTTTAGTTTCTCGTGAGTCATTCTAGTGTGTAGTCATCAAGTGATCTAATTGGTAAAGCAGTGAGAAAAATTTTAAGAGGTTTCCTCCGTTTTTTCTCTTAAATCTCTTAGATGGGTCGATGGATTTTCTTACTTCCAACATTTTTACGCTAGTTTACAATCGAACTAAATGGTAAAATAGTCAGAATTTTTTTGACATGGATATGTCTTATGGCTGGGGGTCAGTCCGAAAGTTTAACACGGAAAATGTTACCACGACCGTGCGTGTGTGCGCTGTTTACCAAGGTTACGCGAGAACGAATTGGTGGGCAGGTGTTTTTAAAGTCAAAATAAGGGCTTAACCGCTTTTGACGCATGTGACGCGACGCTTTTGACGCATGTGACGCGACGCGATTGACGCTTATGACGCGACGCGATTGACGCCTGTGACGCGACGCGATTGACGCTTATGACGCGACGCGATTGATTCTTATGACGCGACGCGATTGACGTCTGTGACGCGACGCGATTGACGTCTGTGACGCGACGCGATTGACGCTAATGACGCGACGCGATTGATTCTTATGACGCATGTGACGCTAAGCGTTAAAACGCGCGAATATATTTCTTATTTCAATACCCACCCTCCTTTGTTATCGGTAACTAGCCGTACTGATTCCAATGCTGTAAGTATAATCTAAATAAAAACAAGTTTCAATGTTGCTTGTGTCAGTGTGTACGGTTTGAACAAGTACGTGCCTCTCCATCGCTGTTGACAAAACTCTCCCCTTGTGAGTTGTAATGAGCTTCCAAATAAAAACGATCCTCATATTAATAAATAAGCGTTCCCTGATAATTTGCGAGTGTGTTTAAATAGCCATCATAAGACTTATCCATGTACAGATGTATCTGCATGCAGTGTAGATACTCGTTTTTCTGAATTTTTCGTGCAGAATTTTTCCATATACTATGTACTTACAGCAACTTACAGCAAATTTAACGTTCTTTCAAGTGGCACAAACCAGATTTTTCTAGTCAGTAATTGTGAAGTTTATAAGCAGTTTAGTGGACCTAAGCCCAAAATTAAAAAAAAAAAAAAACACCTGAAATTACTTCTTTATCGTTAAAATTTGAACAGAGTTAGAATAATAGGAAGTTTTTGTTGCACATGGTGAGTAGAAATACCTCCTGAAATTTTCGATACTTATCGCCAGTCTCCCTGTATATATGAATATAACCAACATAACCACCTATATGAACATAAATTTGAACACATTCGCTTTCCCAGAAAACTCGATATTCCTCGGGGTAGGGTTGAACCCACTCAATTCTCGCTAATAACTTACTTTTATTCTCCAGAAGTCACAAACTTACTCCACAGCACTCGTTATTCCTCGCGGCGTGGTAAAACTACTCCTTTCACGCTAATAAATTACATTCATTCCTATAAGTTCATAAACACAACACCCGATACAAACATAGATGTCTGCGGGCTCAAGTGCTCGTATTGACAGGTAGTTATTTTATCTAAATGACTTGGCTAAATAATATAAACAGTGCTGAACTAGGATTTTTTAATAGCTATTTATAACTGTGATATAGGTGTGCAAACTAATAAAATTAAGAGATGATGGTGCATTAACAGCAACCTCTAGGAAAATGGCAAAAAAGGAGGGAAAATTCAAAATGTGAGGTTAGAGTGAGAAGTTGGTGTCCGAGTGGATCGAAGTCACGATAGCTCAAGTGGTTAGAGTAACGGTGTATTTAGACAAAGGTCGTGGGTTCGAATCCCGCTGGTGACACTAGCTTTTTCATTACAACCAGCACCTTACATAATGATCAATTAATTGAAAGAAGTAATTTGGTCAATAGACAGAATATAATGGATTATTTGCACAATATGTTAAATATCTTTAGACTATTCCTCCTATGTTTTTACATTAGTTTTGAACCGATTTAAATGATAAAATAGTTAGAAACATTTTAAGTTTTCCTCCGCTTTTTTCTCTTGTTCTCTTATAACGTCTAGACAGCTGGATGGATTTTCTTACTCCAACTGTAAAGTTATTGGAGTAAAGCCGCCTTCGCTGAGAATCCGTCCATGAAGACCAGGCGAAAACGGATGTAAAACCTTTTTTCCTTTGAACCGGATTCCAGTAATTTGGGAAGAAAGGCCATTTGTAAGTATGTCGGACCTTTATCAAGTAGCTATGAGTTGCAGTCAAATGTAAAACTTTTGCAAAACAAGTTACAATAGCAAACTTAAAGTGTTTATGATTAAAGTTTAAATAAGCTTGTAGTCTTGTATTTATTACGTTAAAACCGTCCATAGGGCTTCGTTTTAATAGAGCTTTAAAGTATTGTTTTTGTTTATGCCGTGTAATTTTTAGAACAATTCAATGAAATTATTTTAAATTGAAATCACAATTTTGAAAACCTAATTTTTTATCGGGATGGACTAAAGATCAAATAAATATTCGACAGATGTGTAGGTAAAATAAATTCTTACCAATAAAGTCTAGATCCGGTTGGGCCATTTTTGGTAGCCTCGACGACCACGATTGACAAGATACAGGCTCAATCCCATCTGCTTCGTTCATTCGCTCTGTAAAAAACAAATTAAAACTTAATGTATTAAAAGGTAGAGCTATTTTTAAATTATCGGGTTGTCCGGAAAATAATGCAGGATTTTAAGTTTTCATTAAAAAAAATCTATATAAAATATTCTGTTTACGTTTACAGGATTACTNATTTTGATTAAAGAACATTGCTTTAAAGTAACTAGTTTCTTTTTTTTTGTTTAATACCAAAATCCTGCATTATTTTCCGGACAACCCAATATTATTATTTACATTTTAATACGATCAATGCCTAACTATATTTGCCCTATTAAGCTTTTGTAAGCCGTTAAGTAGTTTGAAAGGTCAGACTCAACGTCATTCCTTTTATAACACTTTGTGATGATCAACAAGCTTATAATGGATCTGCAGTGGTCGAAGGTAAGGAGGGAACATTCAGGGCTTTTTTTAAACAAGAAGACGACTTTTTCAACAATCATAGGTTTTGAAAATTTTTTTTATCCCGGTGTGTAATTAATACAAAATAAAGTATCCCCTTCAGTTGAAAGGAGTCTATGCTGTCAAAAAAATCAGGTTTGAATTGGAAGCCGACGGACACCGAAACAAGAAGCCGGAGCGATGATTTTCTTTTTCAAGAGGGCGAGAGTAAAAAATCTATCTATATCTTAAAAATTCCTGCCTGCTTAGTCTTGTTTATCTCCTCCAACCTTTTCCTCTTAACGTCTTAATCTTCAATGTAAAAAAAAACATATTATATGCTTATTAAATCAATACACATTAAAAAGTGCACATACTTTTTGTGAAACAAAGTTCTTAAACCCAGGAATAGTCGTTATACTTAACAAAAATACTACAAATTTTTAACTTTTAAACTTTTAGGTAAAGGTGTTTTTCATTGTTAGTACAAATTTATACTGCTGCTTCTTGTACTTTGTTTTTAATTGGAATTCGGTGTTATCTTCGACCAAAACCTTTCCTAGAAACCACTATTTCTCAAATTTCCCGACGCTGTATTGGACCCCTCCGGTCATGACTCTTTCTACCTATCACCTTCTTGTCTCCTCCATCATCTTTTCCCTCTTCGCTTATGGTGAACTTTCGGAGGGACAAGTAGGGCGTCTGAAAAGACTGATGACGTGCTGCGTCAGATTTATTTTCAGCATACTCCGAATGTCCAACGTGTCACACCTGTATTCTTTCCTGGCTTTATTCCACCTTCTGTAAGATATAATTTCCCGGCTTCTTCCTTTACCAATCCATAAACTCTAGTCGACCTCACTTTAACCTGCTCATGTTCGAATCCTCTATCCACTCCAAATTGAGAAAATGAAGGTAAAATGTTTTTTAATGTAGCAAAAGCACCTAACAATACTATAACCTTTCTGGTGTTTAGTGACCCTTGGGAGTTGAGGCCCACTCAATGTGGTACCATAACGACGACGGGTGGTATAATGTGGTTAAGCCTCGGGGCCCTGAAAAGAGGCACCTCGTCTCATCCACGTCCCTCTCTCAATCCAGGTTTCTTGACTCTTTTCTGTGACCCCTCTCAACCGTTGGATACAAGAGGGGTGTCCGGGCACAAAATAATGAGCCCTGAGGGCGTGGCAACCTCTCTAAAGCACAAGCTGTAATCGTGTCGGCGTCGGGTCGGCATGGGTGGCGGGTGCCTTACCGGAGGCACACGAGGGTTAGGGTACCAGATCCTGTCTGCATAGATAGGGTGCATAACCATCTGTACTACGGGGTAACAAAAATTTTTACAAAATCCAGCCCCTGTTACACTGGGATCACGACTCTGTATTTGTAGTGGTACGTGGTGACACCCTGGCGGGAACTTAGAGAAGAGGCTGTCTTCTACCTGTGACCTTCGCACGAAACGTGCGTATGACCACCTTTATACACCCGGCCTCACGGGATATGGCGGATCTGACGGCAGCCTATAAGCGTTGAGGATTCTATGATTATGCTGAAAAGTCCTTCGAATGCGTAAGTAGTGGCGGATGAGAACGGATAGTGAATCGGTTGCTTCTACTCGAGTATGCTTTGCAAGTAGGTGTAGGCTGAGCTCGATTGGAGGCTTTTACCGTAGGCGGTACTCCTCTGTGGGGTGGTTAGCAATTCCACTTTAAACATAACCAAGGACGGAGCGGATCCGGTAGTTTCTATGCTAGGGAAGCCCCAATACTCTGGGAGATAGAGTGGCCTTCTCTACCTAGGGAGTGTGCGGGAGGCTGATGTATTTCGGCTTAGATAGCCCTATGCTCGCGGCATACAGTCTGATGCTTAATGTAGACCCGACCATTCGGAATGGGCAAGCGGAGAGCGATGTTGCCTTGGCCCTTTTTTGGGCTGAGCTGCCTCTACACCAATGCTGCGGCAGTAACACCATTCTGTCGTATGTGGAGGGACGTCAGCTCTCATCTCGAGAATCAAAATGTCCGATAAGGCTGAATAGGCTAGATGCGGACGTTAAAGATCCTCATTGTCTTTTAAAGGACGACCGAGTAGCATACGGGAACCTAATGTCTTCAATCCTTTTTAAAAAGATAGTTCCTACTCACAGTACGTTGTTTTGCAACAATCCGGATTTCGAGCCTTTTAGCTCATCATCAGGTTGAAGGACTTCTACAACCTGATGATGAGCTAAAACGCCGAAATCCGGTTCGTTGCAAAACAACTTACTGTGAGTAGGAACTATCTTTTTAAAAAGGATTGAACACCACACTCTCTTCATCATTTATCACCTAATGTCTTTTCTTTCTTTGTTCTCTGCTCCATAGTCTCGTCTGCCTCCATCAGAGATTTGCTTCACTTTTTGCACTGACAGACGGTCGTAACACTTCATTAGTCAGATAATTAGCTTATTCGTACGGGATGGACTCCTTCCAATAACCCAACTCGCGCCCTTTCTACACATTTCCATTCCGAGAACACGCCAGTCGCTTCACACAAAAATTATCGTTCTAAAAATTTTAAATTTTTGAACATCTGAAACCATACAATCAAAAAGCAAAAATAACAATATTGTACTTGGACTTTTTATTGTATTTTGTCTCTGTGAAGATAAATTTAAATTTGGGGGTCTTAAATGGGACAGGACGGTATATGTTGTTTTTGTTAGGGCATAGTCATTTCAATAATAGGTCAACCGACAAACCACCAGTCAACTGTGTACACAAACAAAGGTACCTTTGCAATTTATACCCCGAGTGAAACCGCATAATAGTTTGCCTCGTTATGGTAAAGAGCAATTAAGAGGGTATTCGACACGGTTCGGGAGAAGTGTAATTAAATTTTCATCTAATTCAAACACCGTCGAATAAAGTTTTCACTATGTTAACAAATGTTTAATTTCTTTTTAATTTAATTAGTTCCTAAACAAACAAGAAAATGAGAATTTTTAATAAAAGTATGTAACGTTCACGGTATAATTGGGTTGTCAAACACAGATAAGGAATCAGTTAACATATTCGAGCTAAGTTTCTATACCAATTTCAAGAAACTTTCGATTACCTATACTGCACTTATCATAAATGAGAAAAAATAGTATTATATTATTTTTAAATATAAAACAATATCTAAACTGCCACGTCAAATATAACAATTAAAAATTATTATCTTCTTCGAATTCTTTTCAGCATACTTTTACTTCATTGGAATGTGCTTTTTTAAATTTTATTTAATTGAAAAACAATAATAAAACTCTGGATTTTGTGACGTTTCGGCGATCTAGTGCCATCTTATATTTCTGGAAAACGTTATAATTTTACATTTTCATAAAATATGATTATTTAATTTGTTTTATAATTAATTTACTCATGATAATTACTTTAAATTTTGCAAATTTATTTTTAAAAAATTGTTTCCTTAAAAAGTTGAAAAAACGTACATGAAAATATATTTAATTGCCAACTTCACTAGTTTTCGAGGTCCGCTTGATCAATTAATATGTTTCAATTAATTAAGATTTTTTGTTGAGATAAAAAAGTCAGAGTCATGAGCGGGATTCGAACCTAGGACCTTCGGCTAAATACGCGGCTGCTCTACCACCTGAGATATCGTGACTTCGATCCCCTCGGACACCAACTTCCCGAAAGGAGGGAATTGAATGTTAAAAAACAAAAAGGAGGGACAATTCGAAAGGTTGGGTTGAGATGGGAAGTTGGTGCCCGTGGGGATGGAAGTCGCGATATCTCAGGTGGTGGAGTAGCGGCTTATCTAGCTGAAGGTCGTGGGTTCGAATCCCGCTCGTGACATTGACTTTTTTATCTCAACTAAAAACATTAATTAACTGAAAGATATAACTTGGCAACGTTTCTTCCTGTTTACTTAAATATTAATATAATATAAGTAATATATAAATATAAGTAATATATATGTTTCAATCAGTTCATCACATTATTACTATTTAATTTTTTTTGTGAAATATAATATAAATTGATAGATATTTGATTTGCAAAAGGGTAAATTTGATTTTTGAAGGGAATTTTCATTGCAAAATAGTTAATTTGTGCAGCAAAGGCCTAATTTAATTTCATTGAAAAAGGTTGAATTTGATTAGCACAAGATTGAAATTAACTTGCAACAAATTTTTTTATATGTAAAATGGTGAATTAAATTTTCAAAATCAAGAATTTAGTTTTTATTGGTTAATTTTATTTTCGAAAAGGTGAATTTAAAGTGCAAATCATTAATTTCATCTGCAAAATGGTTCATTTATATTAAATGTTGAATTTGATTAGCAGAAGAGTGAAATTAACTTGAAATTTTTTTTTATATGTAAAATGGTGATTTTAATTTTCAAAATCAAGAATTTAGTTTTTATTGATTAATTTTATTTTCGAAAAGGTGAATTTAAAATGCAAATCATTAATTTCATCTGTAAAATGGGTCATTTAAATTAAATGTTGAATTTGATTAGCTCAAGATTGAAATTAACTTGCCAAAAAATTTTTATATGTAAAATGTTGAATTTAATTTTCAAAATCAAGAATTTAGTTTTTATTTATTGATTTTATTTTCGAAA